GTTTAGGGTTCAAGGTTTAGGGTTTAGGGTTTAGGGATGAGTGAAGAAAAAGAGCCTTGATAGCTCGAGCGGAGTTCCCTTCGGCGTTGTTGTAAGGGTTCCTTTTTCTGGCACATTGGACGGGCTTACTCTGGGGTCTAACTACTTAGAACCGGCATGTTTTGGCACGTTTGATGAAAATCTTTTCAATACAACTACACAATGGCGCCCTGCGGAGTTGTAACTACTTGTAACCTCCGTTAATACACTTGCAACCTTACTTACTAAATCCCTTGACCCTTGAAGCAACTATTCAAGCTCTATTCTAAACCCTTGTAGCATCTCTGTAAAGGGAACCTTCAATTGAACCCTGGGGTAACTACTCAGGCTTCCATAGTCAGCTCAACTCACAAGCGAGTGCCTGCAGCAGCAGAGCCCAGCACCATGGGGACATGGTCTCCTCGCGATGGCTCGAGCTGGGTTGAATCTCTGCCCTCAGGGTTGTAGTTTAAGGGTTTAGGCCTAAGCTCCTTTTTGGGGGGAGCTCTTTCCGTCTGCACGAAGCGAGGTTAGTGCTTCGGCTTTCGACTCCAAGAGTGTTGGGATTTCAAGATGTTGCGGTTTAGGAGCGGGACCATCGCCCAGGAGATAGAACCCTCAGCCCTAAACCCCACGCCTTACAGTAGACCCTAAACCTCTCTAGGTCTATAAGGGGTTTCTTTTTCGGTTATTATGTGGAGGCCTTAATGGGTTTCATGGGATTTTGGGCTACATAGTAGGATAAGTACACCAAAAACCGTAAGGAATGATTTTTGTCATTATTGAAAAACCTCTAAACTCTAAACCCCAAAACCTGTGTAGATCCTTTAAAGAAACCCTAAGGAATAATCTTGACACTGACGCAGCTTTCAAGGCTCTGGGGTGAAGGGTTTCATGGCTCCAGAGTCGGACAGGAAGAACTTGCCGTCGAAGATTTGTTTGTATCTGTACTTGGGCGGTTGTAAAAAACTAGGGTCCCTTTTGGGCTCCCGAAACTATAGAGTGCTGTATTTAAAAGTAGCAGTATATCGGGTTCCCTAAAGTCGCCATTATCTTGACAGTTACCCACTTGGAGGATCGGAGACTTCGTAAGTAAGGTTAGAAGTATCTCGACCATGGGTTATAAACATTTTAAGTCGAGCTATCTTGCCTAGAACCCTACTTACTAAGTCCCCCGATGCTCTAAGTAGGGGCTTGCACAACAAGAGCAACAGCCACACCAGCAGTGAGGGAAGTCAAACCGCAAGAACAGCAACGGAGAAACGGTGGAGTTTGGACTCATAGTGACAGTGATCGAACATGAAAGTGATAAGACTGATGAAGATAACGGTGCTAGACGATGGTGCAACATGTACACGTTCTTACACGACAGGCAGTGTGGGGACTGATGCAGGAATGCTCAAAGAAGGAATGGTCGCGGCGCTCGCAGTCATAGCTGCACTAGCATGCAGCAGCGGTGGCAGCCGGAGTGAAGTAGTCTTGGTCGTAGTTGTCGTGGGCGTGGTCCTGCTCGTGCTCGTCGTGGTGGTCGTCCTCGTGGTCGTCGTCGTGGTCGTCGTGGTCGTCGGTTCGTCGGTCGTGGTCGTCGTGGTCGTCGTGGGCGTCGTGGGGCGTCGTGGGGCGTCGTGGGCGTCGTGGGCGTCGTGGGCGTCGCGGGCGTCCTCGCGGTAGCAATCGTAATCGTAGCGGTAGTGGAGGTGATGGTCGTGGTAGCGGTAGTATTCTTACTAGCAGCAGCAGCAGCAGCAGCAGCAGCAGCAGCAAAACAATACGTTACGCTGAGAACAACAGGAGCTGCGGAAAGCGGTTGCTCAGGGATGTTGTCTGCCCACCTCAACCCTTTATGCTAGAAGAAGTCGTCCGTAGACGGATCTCATCACGGGGTCTTTCTGTCTCAGATCCGAATCCTCCCGAGGAAAACCTAGCATCCACAAGTCTAAATCAAACTCGCAGCAGAGACCCACATCAGCCCAAAACCAAAAATCTGAAGCGACACAACCCCACACACCTATGCACTCCCTAAACAAGCTTACATATCTCTTTAGGAACGAGGAAAAGGGATTCCTATGATCTGTTCTTCTTTCCTTAGATTTCTCGGGCTCTGCCGACCCGCCTTCGCTGGCTGTCTTGCAGCGCAAGTCGAAAAGTCAAGACTTCATCAGACCTGAGGATTTAGACTGTAGGGTTAGGGTTTAGGGGATAGGGGTTTGGGTTCTTAGGGGTTAGGGGTTTACGGCTTAAGGGTGTAGGGTTTAGGTGTTTGGGGTTTAGAGGGTTGCGGTGGGGGTTTGGGGTTTAGGGGTTTAAGGCTTTTTGGTTTGGGGCGTGGGGTTTAGAGATTTAGGGCTTGGGGTTTAGGGTTTGGGATGTAAGGTTTTGTGGCTTAGGCTTTAGGGTTTGGGGCTTGGGGCGGATCACCCAGAGCTGCCGTTCAGCTCAGTCTTTCGGACTCGGCTCATGATTCGAGGGCTTCTTATGATTG